TGCGGCTTGTTTCTTGCAGCGCCTGCGCCCCATCAGATATGTTGCGTTCGCGCGCGTGCAGAGACAGCCGCAATTACTGCTCTCACTCTATGGGCGTGGGTGCCACAAGGTTCTGCCTGGGGCCCGCTTCTTCCAAGGTGGTGTTATCTGATGGTTTGCATTGGGTCTGGCAGATGCGCGCCGCTTCCAGAATGGGCAACCCCCTGATGTTATGATGTTCGTCTCAGTTGCCTTTATTTCTCAGTGGCGTTGTCGATGGATCGTAATTCTAAGCCTTTCATTACATGGGGCGGCGCCTTGTTCACCCCAGCCATCTCGGCTGCGGACGCGCGGGGGATGCGCGGGGGGGCGCCCGGCGGCAGCCATGGTGTTTGGATGGGATCTCGCCAGGGGCCGCATCAGATTGCTGGCGCACAACCTTTCAGAGCGACACCCTTGGAGTAAGAGGCGGCCCGCTGTTGAGATAGTTCCGCAAGGCAAGGCCATGGCGATCGCTGGTCTTCGATGAGTTCTCGTCGGCGAGCCTGGTCGGGGCGCACGCGTGGGGATTTTTGCAACGGCGACGTCGGCGGTTAGACCCGCTGAAGACTTCTCGACCCGCATGTCCAGCATTCGAGGGTCGAGGATTTCGCTCGTTCATTGCGTTGTCCCTTCTACGTGTTGGTTTGCTCCGATGTGGCATTTGAGTCGTCGGGTTGCTCTTGCGCTGCGGGCTGCGCAGACGAAGCCGCTTGCTGGCCATCTTCGTTGGCTGCGCCTTCCTGCGTGAACATGTGAGTCGCATGCTCGTGCCGTTCGCAGACAGATGAAGCGCATCAGGGGCGAGGGGATCATATTTTATCTGAACGCCATTACATTGGTACTGGCATGGATTCATCGACCTGCCAGTCAGTTTGCTCGCAAGGCGGAGACAAATCGAGTCGACATTGACAAGTGTATGTCTGTGGGCTTGTCAATAACATTCAGCGCGTGATCGGCAAGAGGGAGAGCATGAGGGTTCCACAAGATTTCTTGGCAGGCGTTTTGGGAGTTCCTTTTTTTGTGATGCCAGTTGGTGCGTTTTCATTCACCCCAGAAGTTGATTGGGTTGCAGTGGCCCTGGACCGATGAGGGTGGCGTAATAGCGAAGATGGGATGGCTTCCAGGTGAGGCTGTTCCTCGATCGCAGTATTTCCCGAATTTCTTCCCCAGAGTGTTGCCATCGCCGCCGCCGCTGCGCGTCTCGTTTTCGTTGCTATATTGCAATATCGACAATCGGACGGCGCCCGTCGTTCATGAGTGCCCGCTACCACCACCTTTCTACCCCCCTCCTTCGTCCGCCATGGGCTCCTCCTCCCTCCCCCTCCTCCCTTGTGACCTCCTTTCGTTTGCCTTTCTCCTCCCCCCTCCCCCCTGCCTCCCTCCCTCCCTCCTTCCCCGCCCCTCCCTCCCTTGTCCTCCTCGGCTGCGACCTTGCCAGTGGCGAGAGGAGGCACCTCCGGGGTTTCCCCGCAATTCTCCCCGCGGCCAGGCAGCAGGCCGCTCCCGGCCCCGTCGAAGCCCTCGCAGTTCCTGGCCGTGGCGGCGCTGATCGCCCAGGGCCTGGTGGGGCCTTCGGGGGCGCTCGGCGGGGCACCGCGGCGCCCGCCGCTTGGTTGGTCGGTCGTCGTCTGTCGGTCGCCGCCGCCGGGTCGCCGTCGGTGGACGGCGTCGGTGGACGGCGCCGGAGTGGTGTCTGGGGGCGGACGGAGCTTCTTGACAGTCCAGCTGCCGGCGAAAGTAAGGGGCCCCGGGAGGAGGGGGAGGAGGAACATTCGGAGGCCAAGCGGTGGAGGAGGGAATGGTTGCGGTCGTGGATGGGTGTGTGAACGGGAGGGGCCGGAGCAGGAGGCTGGCAAAACGTTGGCCCCTTATTCCCGAACTTCTCATCATCGTTTCTTGTTTTTTTTCTCCTGTTCGGTCTCTCCCTTTCTTCCCTCCTTCCCGCCCTCGCTCACCGACCGCGCGCGCGCCCCAACACGCCCGCGGGGGGAGGTGAACCTGGACGACGTTTGGTCCTATTTGGACCCGGGCGACGACGTTCTGAGGAAGTCTGCTGCCGACCTCGTGGCCGGGCTCAGCGCGCTTGTTCGCACGCGGTTCGGTACGGTCGGCCTGGTTACCAGAAGGCCAGGACCTTTTCACGTCGTGGAGACAAACAGAACGACGAACGCTTTACCCAAAACAACGCTTACATTTACATAGGTTTCCTTACTTTGATTGCTAAGGGTTCTATGGGCGTGTCCATGTTTCGGCTGGTGCCCGGTTGGGGCCGCCTCGTTGCTGCCTCGTGGTTGGGTGCGTCGGGATTTCGGTTGGTGCCCGGTTGTGGCCGCTTCGGTGCCGCCTCGTGCGTTGGGTTGGCGTGTCGGATCTTGGCTGGTGTCCGCCTGGTGCTGTTTCGTTGGCTCCTTGTTGCCGCATCTCTCGCCACGTTATTAATCAGTTCGCTCATTCCGCCAACCCGTACTGCCTCGCCGCTGTCGTTTGTCGGGGTGTGTCTCTTGGGACTCTTTTGGAAGGCCTCTTGTTTGTATGAAGATGTTGCAGGCCATGCCAGTGGCGACGCCTGCATCTCTTTTCCTTTAACCTCACTGTGCGCTGCCCTCAAGGCGCACGCGTCTCTGGGGGGCATCCCGACTCCTAGCGCGGTAGGCCTACCAAGCAATGTTCGAAGAACCTGTTGTGGTTTGCACGAACTGTTCTTAGAACATGTCTGGCTGGGACTGCATTGCTTTAACACATTGGGCTTATGTTTTTAGACCCTTGCTTTTGATACTAGAACATTTTTGGGTTCTAAGAACATGTCGTGGTAGATCTGTAAGAATGCCAGGACGGTCGGTCCCTGCTCAATTTCAGGCACACTCATCCCTTCCACAAGTGGCCTCTTCGGGGGTGTTGTACGCGTCGTGGGCCGTCTGGAAGCAATCGTTGGTGCCTGAGACCGATCGTTCGACGAGTGCCACTTCGAGCGCCGCCAATTGCCCGAGTGATCGTTGTCAATGCGGTGCTGCTGGATGGGGTTGCTGATTATATATTAGCCTTTCGCCCATCCCGCCACCGTGCCTGGGTGATGGGTCGGAGGCCTCAGGGATGTTGGTTGAGCTCTCGTGGTTGGCCTTTCGGGCGCTTCTGGGAAGCAGTTTTGAAGCCTCTTAGGGGCCGCGTTGGGACCTTTTGGGGCTTCTTAGGGTCCTATCGGGGCTTCTGGAGGTGCCTCTAGGTGGTCCCTTGGGGGCCCCTTGGGGCCTCTTGGGGGCCTCTTGGGGCCGCCTGGGGGCCTCGTGGGGCAGAAGTCTGGACTTCTTGGATCTTGCCCCCCTTGCTGGGCCCCTTTTGGTGCCATGTTGGGGCCGTCTTGGGCGCTTCTTGGTGCCCTTTCGGGCGGTCTTGGGCCCATTTTGGGGGCGCGTTGGGCCGAGGCCTCTGAGGTAGTTCTTGATGTTGTGAGCCCCCAAGCGTGCAAACTGGGCATCGCCTAGGGTAGGTTTCGTCCAGGGGTCCCCAGGGGCCGCTTCGTGCGCGCTAACTAGAAATAGGGTTATCCTTTACTGGAGATCTTAACACCACTCTGGCCCGTTGGGCCGGCGAGCTTGCACCACATAGCTTGCACATCCACAGTGCAATAGCTTACTTTTTGGGGTTAGCGCTGGCAAACCGTTATTTGCTATTTACGGCCTGTGGAGGCCCTCGCTGGGCCCCGGGAGGAAGAACCAGTCCCGGGGAATAGATCAAGACCTCTGGGGGTCAACGGTGTGACAAAAACATGGCGTCGGGGGGCTGGGGGATGGGGACGGGCACCGACAAATTCCTTGTCCATTTTGAGCAGGCCTTGCTGCCGATGTCGCCGCGGACGCTGTCCGCTTGGGACAGCAAGACGCCCAGCCCAGCAGCGGCCAGCGTCGATCCTCGACAACATGCGCTTTTGGGCATCGTACCCACTTTTTCCGTGCCCGTTTAAGGGCGTCCAAAGTGGCATTCCGAGCGCACCGTTCTCCGTTTCACGCCCCATCATGTAAAGGAACATGCACGGCAGACGGTTTCCTTTCACGTTCGGGCTCTCTGGAGGGGCCTTTCTTTGGGCCCCCAGGGCCGTCAAGGGACGTCTTCAGGACCTCAGCTGCCCTCCTAACTCCAGAATCCCGAGCCGTGTTTTAATGGCCTCGGGGTTCTTTTTGCAACGCAATACGTAGATCCCGTGTTCAGAAAGTCTGGGTTCAACACGCTGCGTGTTGGCTCAGCGCGTGTTGGCTAACATTTTGGCGAAGGTGCCGCGCTAGACCTACTTGTTCATTTTGCGTGTTGAGCTCCGTTTCAACATGATCAAGGTTCTGTGTTGTTTTTGCAGCTCGGTTGTAATTCTTGGGATGTGTCATTCAGTATCGGCAGTGGTATATCCATGGTCGAACACCGCCTTCATCCAGCTTACTCCAACTCGCTCCGATCCAATCCAGTTCAGTCACGGGTTCAATTTGGGTCAATCCCGCTTTGTGCCCCCTTAATATGGGGCTCGACGGCCACATTCATCATTCCGACGAGCATGGTCCAGGATCGCGCTTCGATGCCAGAACAGCCACGCCCAGGACGAAAAGCCAGCCACGGGGAAGTGGGCCGGGACTTCCGGGGGCCCACGCCCTGAACAAAGAATCGCGACATCGGGGGTTGCCAGAGGTGGTCCTGGCCCAGGGCGTCCCCAGCTCTTCGGGAAGCCTGGATGCAGACACTGCGAGGGAGGAGGCGCAGCAGCAACAGGAACAGCAGGATGCACAGCGTGATGGGCCTGTTTTCCACCACCACCACCATAAGTTGGAGGGGGAGGGGGTCCTTCTCCTCCTCGTCCTCCTCCTCCTTCTCCTCGTCCTCCTCACTCCCCCGTCCAACTTATGGTGATGGTGGTGAAAAACAGGCCCATCACAGCGGGCTGTTGGAGAGGTAAACGCCTTCTCTCTTGCCCCGCACGTGACGCGTGCGGCGCAACCGAGATGACGAAGTACGAGGAGGAGGTGACCAACCTGTCGAAGGTGGACTTGGCCACGGGCTCTGGGAAGAAGGACAAGGACAGGGCTGGACCTAAACGGTGTTTTTGCGATCTCGTGGGCCGTTTTCGTTTCGACGTCGTTTTGCGGCAAAGGCGGAGAGCAGGCAAGACGAAGGGAACACGAGAACAGAGCGAAAACGAAAAACACCGTTTAGGTTCAGCCCTGGACAAGGACACTTTCAAGAGCCTCTTCCAGCAGTACAACCAGGCGGGCCGGCGAGCCCTGGGCCGCCCCCCCCCCCCTTCGTGGATGCATGCCCATGCAATCCTCGTCGCTCGCCCTGGGGTCGAAGCTCGCCTGCCCGAGGATGCCCCCCCGTGCTCTCTCGCCTCGTGCGCGCCCGACGAGGCTTGCTGACGTGGCTGACCCTGGAGGTGTTGGTGTCGCCGCAAAGTCGTTGACGGGTTGCATCTCCGTGGTTTGAAGCCGCTTGGCTTTCTCGTCTGCGTGTGGCGTCTTGATTCTTGAGGTGTGAGAAGTGTAGGCCCTACGCAGGGCCGCCTGGCCAGGCTAAGAGTGCCAGGACGGAAGGGAGTTGCACTAGCACAGTTTGGTTTCGGGCGTGCAGGACATGGCTTCGTAGCACGCCTCTGAGCAAGCGAGCGAGCGATCATGCGAAAGAGTACACAGTCAGGCAGAAACCTGCAGGCCAGACAAGCGCAGGCAAAACTGAGCAAACACGAAAACCGTAGCCATGCCGGCTCACGCTAGTTGGACTCGAGTGGGAGGTGGGCCTAAGCCACCGTGATATTCGTCTCAGTTGTACCCATCTTTTTAATCGAGCCATTGTGTGCCGCTGTGGGTGTTTCAATCGTTGCTGGTTGCAATTGGCTCTACAGGTATGGCAGATGCATGCGCTGATTGAAATTATGGAGTACGCAGTTGCCAAGTGATGGAGGTGCTCTTCCAAGCGCTGCGACTAACGTTGGTAGTGTGCCGAAGTTGGGCATTGAAGTTGAAGTGGCAAGCGTGACTCAGCGAGGAGGCCTCTGCCTGACGACAAGCTATGTCGATTCCGACTCCCACATGCGATGGATGTGGGTTGAAGTACATGAGTGGCATGCCCACCGTAAATACTATAAGGGGCCAAAGAAGTCGGTGCTCTCATTGTGCACCCAACGCAATGCAAAATCTTGAATATGTCAGACGTATCGCGAATGCTCGTGATGGCAAGTGTCTTTCCGCGTCATACGACAATATCAGCACGAACATGAGTTGGCAGTGTGCCCTTGGCCATCGATAGGACTCACCTCTCTCCAGTGTGAAACATGATAAGAGTTGGTGCAGGATCGGCAGCTTTATGGGCCAGCGTCACACTTTTAAGCCATGGGCAACAAGTCGCGCTCAGCGCGGAGGTGAGTGTATATCACATCGCTACACATCAGCGGTTGCGTTCGCGCTGTTCTTTCGGACGCGAGTGGTGCACTTTTTTTGACAACGTACTGCACAACATGTGTTGGTGTCCACTCAGCGGACACCACCACATATTGCGAGATTCGCAATAGATTCGAGACAAGTTTATCCGGCACCACTTTTTCTAACTGCAGACCTGGATGTCTTGCCGTCCGGAACAGATCTCGTTTGGAGCCCGATGGATAGTGCGAAGAATTTGGTCCAGTTTTCGAGTACCAGGGTGAGCAACACTATAATCCTCACCATGTTTGGCTCTCCTCGAAGCTTGATTCCTTTGAGCGATGCATTGAGAATGACGATCCGAAAGTGGATAGGTGCAAGCGCGCAGGAGTAAATTTATCAGTAGTGCCGCGCGTTCTGCAAGATCAGTGGAGTTTGACTCGGCTCTATATCCTCCATTGGTTCCCTAATGGCGTTGTTGACTGGACGTTGCTCAGCGAGTGAGAATTCAAGCGTACACAGGCAAAGCAACACACAGACGATATGCAGGCTGTGCATGCAAACCACACCATCAAATAATCCGTAAAGAAAAGCGGCGACGGTTAGGCCGACATTGACTGCGACGATGAAGAATACGCCAAGAACGATGACATGACCAAGACGAGGATGATTGCGACAACCATACTTACATGAACTTCTATTGGTTGCGATAGCTCCATGGAGATTCTGACGAGTTCCAGGGGGCAGGAGATGATGATGAGGAGGAGGAGGAGGAGGAGGAAGAGCAAGAGGAGGAGGAGGAGGAGGAGGAGCAGGAGGAGGAGGAGGAGGAGGAGGAGGGGGGGGGGAGGAGGAGGGGAGGAGGAGGAGAAGGAGGAGGAGGAGGAGGAGGAGGAAGCGGGGGCCGAGGAGGATAGGAGGTGGAGGATGTCCATGCGGTGTCCATGTAGATGAAGTTCATAGGAGGAGGTTCAGGATGAGGATCAGGGGTGTGGCGTGAGGGAGGATGAGGGAAGAGGGAAAGGGAGGTGGACGAGGAGGAGGGGTCTCAGGAGGAGCAGGGGAGGAGAGGACCAGTAGGAAGGGGAGGAGGAGGAGGAGGAGGAGGAGGAGGAGGAGGAGGAGGAGCAGCAAGTGGAGCCGGGAGAGAAGGAGGCGGAGGATGTCGAGGAAACCAGAGCGATTTGCGGCAGAGAGAGCGGCGCGGGCGTGACCCTGCAAGCAGGCGACGCACCAGAAGTTCCGCCTCGCCGCCGCGCTGATCAGCGTGAATTGCTGGTGGGCTGCCAACAGGGCGCCGAGCTTAGGCCCCCTCGCCCCGGCGAGGAGCAGCAAGAGGAACACGTCGGCGAGAACGGCGACGACAACAAGGTCTCCGGAGGTCCCCTCGAAGCTCCCTGGCGGCTTCTGGATCCCGTCCGAGGCCTACACGAAGCCGAGGGCGTTCAGAAGCCTTGAGCATCGAGCATCGTCGACGACGGCAACGGCGGCGGCGACGGCGGCGACTCCGGCGGCGGCGACGACCGCGACGACGACGGCGGAAACGACGGCGGCAGCGGCGACGACGACGGCGAAAGCAGCGACGACCTCCGCCTGCGGCATTTTCCTCGCCATCCTTCTCCTCCCTCTCGTCCTCCTCCTCTCGTCTTCCCCCCCTCATCGTCGTCGTCGTCCTCCTCCTCCTCCTCCTCTCGCCCTCCCCCTCCCTCCTCGTCTCGCCCTCCCCCTCCTCGCCTCGCCCATCCTGCGCCTGCTGCCTGCGCCGCTTCTCTCGTCCTCCGCCTCCCCCCTCCTCCTGCCTGTCGTCGTCCTTCTCCTCCTGGACAGATCTACAGTCTGCAGGGGGAGTCCAGCGTGGGAGGCCTGGTGCACTGAACGCCGCAGGCCCCACGAGGACCTTTGGAGGCTGCTTCGGGCCCTCGTTGATGACTCATTTTCGCATCCGGGGGCGCTCGCTGTGGTGAAAGTCGAGGCCCACTCGGGCCGTGACCCCGCGGCTCTCGGGGGCCGCGAGGGGCTCGACGTCCTCGGGCACGCCCGTGCCGACCGCGAGGCCGAAGCTGCAGCTGCGGCAGATGACCACTCGGCCTCGCCAGAGGACGTCTGGCAGGAGCGTTCTGAGGATGCCTGCAACATGTGAATGGCCAGCATGACTCAGGAGGGGAAAACAAACCCACAGACACAACAATGAATCGTCGATTCCCAAGAAGGTGTGGGAAACTATGGGAAGTGGGGGGAAGACAGAAGCCCAGAAGACATGGGAAGATATGGGGAAGCCTGTGATCTGTGTGGTATGTTTACTTGTGTGTCCCAGGGCCCCTTTCAAACACGTGAATGGCCAGCATGGCCATGCACGCTGGGTGCCCTGGCAGGCAGCGCCCGCCGCCAGGACCAACGCGGGAGGGGCGTGGGCGAGGCGTCGGGCTCGGGTCGGGCCTCCTCTCGGGACCTCCCAGGGAGAGGCGTCGGTCTCGGATTGGACCTTCATCAGGAGGGGGAAAAACACACAGACACAATTCACCGCCGATTCCCCGGAACATGTGGGAAAATGTAGGAAGTGTGCGGGGGGGGAGGGAAGACAGAAACCCAGAAACTATGGGAAACTATGGGGAAGCTTGCGATTTGTGTGTATTTACTTGTGTGTCCCAGGGCCCCATCCGGATTGGGCCTTCTCCTGGGACCTCCCCTCGCCCCCCCCCTCTCTGGGAAGGAACGGCTTGGCGGTTTCAGATTTGAGGCTGCGGACGGCATGCCCGCACCTGGCAGGGCAAGGGAACCCTCCTCAGGGCGCCCTGCCGACAGGCGTCTGCGAGGGGTGCCCGATGTTCGCCCGCCCCGGGGGCGGCCCCCCAGCAGCTTCCCTTATTCCGTCAAGTGTTCTTGCGTGCTGGTGGTCTCCTCTGCTTTGTGGCAGCTGCGTGGCCTTCTCGAGCGGAGAGGCCAAGCAGATCCTTCGGACCTGCGAGGGTGAGCCTGCCAACTCCCAGGCCAAGTGCAGACGAGGCAAGCTTCTGCGCGGGCGGCCTGCACCCTCATACTAGCCAGCGCCTGTTCGAGGGCCATGCGGTCGCTTTCTTGCCGCAGGAGAGTGCTGAGATGCACGCATCTTCTCCTGAAAGGAACGAGCTCCGCTGGCGTCATAAGGGGCAAGTGGGTCACGCGTCGGCCTGACCAACAAAGAACCCAAGCGCCACCCCGCAGTGCTCCGAGTGACCTCGGTGAGCTGCGTCGCGCCACTCGGGGAATACTCACGACATGCGTCCTCCTCCTCCTCGCCCTCCGCATCGCCGTCCTCTTCCTCCTCCTTCTCCTGGGCGTCCAGTGCCCTATGCAGTCTCGTCTCGGTCTTCAACAGTCGAGTTTCCTTTTTACCCTCGGAGGGCCCCTCAAGATGGGCCCGTCGATCTTTCGGCCTGCATCGAGCAGGCCTGTGGCCTGTTGAAGCGCCTTTGGCTTTGACACGACCCCGGCAGTAGCTGACTGCAGCTCTTTCGCGGCTATCCGATCCGATCCGATCCGATTTTCCTCGGCCTCGTCCTCGTCCTCGCCCTCCTGCTGCAGCCGGCCCCTCGCTTGCCCGATGTCCAGGTGCTGCTGCACCTCCGGGCCGTCTGCAAGCCCTGCCTCAACCACTACGTGCGGGAGGCGCCGGGGCGAGGGCGAGGACGAGGAGGAGAGGACAACGACGAGGAGGAGGAGCAGGAGGAGGGCGAGGAGCCGGAGGAGGAGGAGGAGGCGGAGGAGGAAGCGGAGGAGGAGGCGGAGGAAGAGGAGGAGGGGGAGGAGGAGGGGGAGGAAGAGGAGGAGGACCATGTCGACGGGCAGGAGGAGAGGGAGGCAGGGGACGAGAGGAGGACGAGCATGATGAGAAGGACGGCGAGGAGGACGTGGCGAGGACGGGGAGGACGTAGATGAGGAGCGGTTTTCTAGCATCGACGGAGGAAGAGCGAACGACTGAGCTTTCGGAAGTCTGCGGGGCGGCGCTGGAGCCCACCCCCGATAGCGGCTCTTCTGGTGCCGCCGCCCCTGGCGCGTGCCGGGGGAGGGGGGTCCATCGCCGACCCAAGATGACGGGCCTGTTTTCCACCATCACCACCATAAGTTGGAGGGGGGAGGTGGTCCTCCTCCTCCTCCTCGTCCTCCTCCTCCACCTCCTCCTCCTTGTCCTCCACCTCCTCCTTCCCCCCTCCAACTTATGGTCGTGGTGGTGTGGAAAACAGGCCCATCACAAGAAGTCCGCGCGGAACTCCGAAAGTCTATGTTTGTGCACTTCTTTGCTTCTCTTATCGAGGTCTTGGGCTGTTTTTATATCTGGCACTCGCAGGCCTCCAGGGGTCTCCAGAGAGCTCCGGAGACCTCGCGCACGGGGCGGAAGAGCAGTCCGTTGAGAAATATACGAGGGCGACGGGTGAGCAGGAGGAGAAAGAACGGGAGGAGAAACCGAAGAAGGAGGAAGAGGTGCGGGAAGGTCAGGGGGGGAGGCCAGGGCGGAGGAGGAGGAGGGCGAGGAGGAGGAGGAGGAGGAGGAGAAAGGAGAGGAGGAGCGAGGGGGAGGAATATGGAGGAGGAGGAGGATGAGGAGGATGAGAATGAGGATGAGGATGAGGATGAGGACAGGGGGATGAGGAGGATGAGACGGAGGATGGGGAGAGGAGGGGTGGGGGGGCGGACGAGGGAGGAGGAGGGAGGAGGAGGAGAAGGAGGAGGAGGAGGATGTGGTGCTCACTACCCTACCCGTTTTATGATTTTTGCATCCTCGGTTTCTTCTTGTTGGTTCTGGGGCCCCAGATGGACCTCGGGATGCCCAGACTCCTAACACTTCGCCGTGCTGATCCAGCTGCGTTGCCGCACTGCGCCGTGGGGAGGAGGGGCAGGCAAGACTGAGGGGCAGATCCATGATCCACCCCGCCGCTGATATTGTTCTTGACCTCGCTCTTCGTGCGGAGGATCAGGAAGAACGCCTGAAGCTTGGGCGCAAGCCTCCTCTTCCTCATCCTCCTCCTCTTCCTCCTCGTTCTCCCTTCCTCCGCTCGCCTATGACCATCCTCCTCCCCCCCGTCTTATTTCTGCTGCCCTTCTTTCCCCCTCATCCCCGATCCTTCCTCCCCCTGCTCCTCCTCACCCTCATCCTCCCGACCCTCCACGTCTGGAGTCCCCCCGGGGTCTCCGGAGGGCTCCAGAGGTTTCCCGCAGGTTCTTGCCAGCCCCATGGAGGATCCCCAGGGGGAAGGGAATCCCTTCAAGACCTCAACTCTCGATCGCCGAGGTCGGTCCTCGATCTTCGATCGGCCGTCGATCGATCCTCGATCGATCTTCGATCGACCCTCGATCATCGATCGATCCTCGATCAGCCGTCGATCGATCCTCGAGCCTTGACGGCGACGACGTCCGCCGACAGAGAGGCGCTGTGCGACCTGCTGAAGTGGATGATAGCGCCGCTTCTGGTCTCCACGCAGAAGCGGCTGCCCCACCAGACCAAGGCGACCCTGGAGACCACGTACGGGCGCGCCGCCCAGCGTGAGGAGGACGGGGAGGAGGGGGAGGAGGGGGAAGAGAGGCTAGAGGAATTCATGCTTCTTGGAAGGTCTACTTCAAGTTGTTTGGCCTCTGAAGCCCTCTGGAGGTCACTTGGGAGAAAGCCAGGGGGACGAGAATATGCAGGAGAAAGGATGATGATGATGATGATGATGATGATGATGATGATGATGATGATGATGATGATGATGATGATGATGATGATGATGATGATGATGATGATGATTATGATGATTATGATGATGATGATGATGAGGAGGAGGAGGAGGAGGAGAGGAACGGGGTGGGAGGAGGTGGATAGGGAAACCTCGATCGGGGAACACTGATGATAATCAATATCAGGAGGAGGAGGAGAAAGAGAAAGAGAAACAACATGAGTGGGAGGAGTTCCGGGAAGAGAATCTCATGAGTGAAGAGGTTATCCTGTCATGAACTTGCCTGGTCCCTCTACCTCTTTCTCCTCTATGTCCTCTGCGTACTCTTCTCTCTCGTCGTTCCCTCACTTGTCCTCGTCCTTTCCTCTCTCCCTCATCGATTTCTTCCTCCTCGCCCTCCTCTACTTCCTCCGGTGAGCTCCCGGCGGCCCCTGGGCCACAAAACCCACAACCGTCCCGCCAAGAATTTTGCAAAGTATCTCTAGAAGCGCCTACTGATCGTGTCAATAACCATCTGCTGCCAGTTTCTCACGTTCGAGCCAAGGCGCGCGCTAATCGCCCGCACGGCTTGTTTTATGTTGGTGTGTGTTGTTTTGTTTTGTTCGGTCACGAAATCGCACTGCAAAAGCCAAGTTTACGGAATAACCATTCATTCATGTTGCACTCCGTGGCGTCCAGATGGCCTCGGCATCCTCGGATAGCCTCAGATTTCAGATTGCATCCGCCTCAGATTGGCCCGACAGTTGCGTGGTCAACAGACGGTACAGTCGAGTCTGATTTCTGGGCCGACTCTGCAGCATCGAGGGTGCCACCGTCTCGTGCCTGCCGCGTTCCGTGCCAGCTTCACCCTTCTTGGAGCACGGGCTGCCCACGGGAAGAGTCCTGTGCACGTTCGGCTGCCCTCCGTCACCGGCACCGACCGGGTGGCCTGGACAGGAGGGGCCCAGGGAGGCCCGAGAAGGGCCCCCCCCAGGGCACTCGGAGGTGCTCGCGCGGTGGCCCCGACTGGCGGAGACGGCCAGATGGGGGTGGCGGAGGGAGCCCGTCGTTGAGATGGATGCCGGCAGGCCCGCTGGCCTGGCGGAGGAGGGGGGATCCCCAGCGAGTCCCTGCCGGAAGATCGGAGATCCCGAACGTCGGAGTTTGCCTGCACACATCCCCGGCCCAGTGCCGAATCAGAGGGGGGCCGCTGGGGAGGCGGAGGGCGGGGCTGGGTGGGGGGGGGGAGTGCCGCACGCCACGCGTTTCAGGCTGCCAGGGCGCAGCTGGGCAGACACACGGGCCCGGGTGCGGGCCCAGGCCCGACCCCCGACCATCCCCTGCCCGAGGGCCGAGCGGCGCTTCGGCCTCGGCCTGGAGGCCAGCGAGAAGGAGCCGAGCCCCGGGCCTGCGAGGAGGCGGGGAGGCGCGGGGGGGGCGAGGGCCAGCAGCGAGGACGAGCAGGGGAAGGAGGAGGCAGGAGGACACGCAGCAGGAGGAGGGGGGGGAGAGGAAGGGGAGGAGCCAGCGTGGAGGAGGGGAGGGTGAAAAGGAGGAGGGGGATCCAGCGAGGAGAAGGAGGAAGGAGGAGGAGGAGGAGGAGGAGGTGGAGGAGGCGAAGAAGGAGAAGGAGGAAAAGGACGACGACGACGACGACGACGACGACGACGACGACGACGACGACGACGACGACGACGGCGGCGCCGACGGCGGCGACCGCGGCGGCGGCGGCGGGGCGACGCGGCGGCGGCCGGGCCGCGAGGAGGGCGCCGGCGACGGGGGCGACGCCCCGGCGGCGCTGCGGCAGGCCAGTTCGGCTCGGGGGGAGCCCCGGTCGGCCTCGGGGCCCTCGGGCGGGGCCAGGGCCAGGACCCAGACATGATCGCCAGGAAGCAGGAGGGAGGAGGGAGGGAGGGAGGAGGGAGGAGGGAGGAGGGAGGAGAGAGGAGGGAGGAGGGAGGATGAGGAGGATGAGGAGGAGAGGAGGAGGAGGAGAGGAGGAGGAGGGAGGAGGAGGAGGAGGAGGAGGGAGGAGGGAGGGAGGAAGGAGGAGGGAGGAGGAGGATGGAGGATGGAGGAGGGAGGAGGAAAAAACATCGGGGCGGGAGGCTTGTCGCGATTGTCGGCCCCCGGGGGGGCCCTCGCCCGGCCTCGCGAGGCCGCCAAGCAAGGACTCGGGACGACACACTCGGTCCCGGGAGGAGGTCGGGGGATTTCCAGGCAAGCTGTCCCGAAACAGTCAGGACGTCGCATGTCTGAGGGGATTTCCAGGCACGCTGTCCCGAAAAAGTCAGGACGTCGCGTATCTTCACCATCCACCAAACCACCCCAACCCAACCCGAAGGCCTCAATTTGCCCTTCATTTCCGGTGGGGGGGGGTCGGGGCACATCGTGAAAACACATACGGAACCCGTACGTCGATGCCCTCCCAAGGGGGGCTGCGACTCCTGCTTCTCCTCCTCCTCCTCCTCCTCCTCCTCCCAACTTGATCCTCTGGAGGCCACCAGATGCCTCCAGGGACCTCCAAAGAGACTTCTGGCGACCTTCGAGGAACCTCGCACACTGGAAGGCCCGACCCTTCCCCAGGGATGGCTTTCATCCTGCGCCGTCCTTTCACGGTCCAGCAGCCGAAACTGGCCCGCCGAGGCCGAGACCCACGAACAGTTGCGGTTGCTGCTGTGATGTTTCCAAGACCCCGGGCGTGTGGGTCACCGCACGGGCCGCCTCAAGCGCGGGGAGCGCTGGAAAAAAGCCAGCCGCACGGAGCCGCTTCGTTGTAATCCTCCCGCTTGGCGATCCCCCGGGGAAGCGGTCGGGATGTCTGTGCTGCCACGCTGTAGAGAACACGACGTCGGAAGTCCAGGATCAACCTCACCGATCATGGCAGGGCCGATCGGGGTGGGTCCCGCCTTGTGTTGGAGCCTTTGGAGGCATGTCGTAAGCTATCTTGAGTCATCCTGTGCTATCTTGTTCTGTTGTGCCCCCTGGGCTATCTGCGGCCATATTGGAGCCATCTAGGGCCACGGAGGACCCTCTGACACTTCGACCCCCCCCCCCTTCAGAGCCAGGGGGAGGGGATGGGGAGGTGTCAAGCTAGTGGGCCCCCCCGAAAGGACGGCCGTCTCTTTCATCCCCACCCGCCCTACCGCCCACCACATGAGTCCCATAGGCAGGGACCGCAATCGACAACCATCGGACCATCAGGAACCCACGCAGACGCCAGCCAGGTGCGCGACGCCTGCGATTTGCGCCGCGAGTGCCGGGGCAACCCAATACCCCTGCGGGATAACAATGCAAAATGATCGCGTAGCGCCCACGGATGATCCAAGATTTTGTCACACCGTGCGTTTTGCATGCGATGTGTTTTTCGACCCGGATGGTGAGCTTGTGCGCACCAGAAATTTTGTCGGCAACCCTGTCGCCCCTGCCGAAACAGTGTAAAGTAATCGTGGCAGGGTGCCCGAGCATGACTCAGAGTTTAAAGCAATGTGCATGCCGTACTTGTTTTGACAGGTATGGTGGGTGTGTGTCGGCGTTGGACCTGTTTCGGAGCCGGCAGGGAGGGGAAGGTCGTGTGTATCAATGTGGGGCAGCCATCAGCCCCGCTCCGAAGGGGAAGGAGGGTGCTGGAACAACGAACTCTCTAGATGACCTGCGCCCAAAAGAGCTCGAGGGATTCTCCATTCGTACTCCTGCGTTCTCTTCCCTCTTCCTTCACCCTCGTTTTCCTGTCAGCTGCATGTCCGCCTCCTCGTCGTCCTCATCCTCTTCGCTTCCCACTCATTCCTCTTGCTGCGACATTGTGCCAGCAGCAAGCCGAGCCTTCTGCCATATTCCGTTAGCTTTTCCAGGACCTGTCTACGTGTTGGAGGGGGAAGATCTAGTCTGGTCTGTCTGGTCTGTTCTGTCTGTTCTGTTGTGGCTTGCTCTTTCAGATCCGGTCTGGTCTGTTCTAGCTTCTCCCCGCTTTCGTCAAGTCCATCTGGTCGGCTCTTGCGGCCTGGTCTGGACTGACATCATCTAGTAAAACATGAGGTGGCATTGCGATTGGTATGGTCTGGTCCGCTGTGGCCGATTGTGAAGGGGGGGGTGGGAAACAGAATAGCGGGAGGAGCGGGCGCAAAAGTTGAACCATGGTGAAAGTAGTGAGCGACCCTTCTTGGCGGGCTCTCGCCAGCTTTTTGGGACCCCCTTCGGCAGTGTTTCTTGGGGCCTTGTCTTATACCATCTCTGAAGGTTCTCGGGCATGTGGACTTCCCTCGCGGGCCGCTAGAACAAGTGAAAGTCGCGTCCTGGAAGCCACTTGGAAGTTTTTGGGAGGCCCTCCGATGTCGCTTTGGGAGCCTCCTTGGAGGCTGACCAGGCCGTCCTGGGAGCCTCTTGAAGGCTCCCCTGGTTGATTTTAAGCGGCCCTGATGGACGCCTCCTGGTGGCCCCGTGGGTGTCCAGACCGTGCCAGAGGCGTCCGAAAGCCTTGGACCTCGATGCTCGCGTCTGGACTCAGGGGTTCGGGCATCGAGGCTCAAGGTTCTCGGTGCTTCGATCCTCGAAGCTCGTCGACCATCCTCGAGCCCGGAGGATGGAGGAGGAGCCCGGCGGCCTCGCAGGTGAAGGACCTCGACCAGTTCATCCCGCAGGCCAAGGTCGTGCTGGAGCACCTCGAGTATCAGAGAGGGCTTTCGCCGCTCCGCTCGGACATCCAGGGTACCCGCGTGGGCGGTAAGAGCGATGATGCTGAAAAATACGACGACGACTACGCCGACGATGATGATGATGATGATGATGATGATGATGATGATGATGATGATGATGATGATGATGATGATGATGTTATGCTGATGATGATCATGATGCTGATGGTGATGATGATGATGATGAGGAGGAGGAGGAGGTGGATGATGATGAGGATGAGGATGAGGATGACGATGATGATGATGGTGATGATGAAAATGATGATGATGATGTTGATAATGCTGATGATGATGGTGGTGGTGGTGATGATGAGTATGATGATGACGAGGATGATGATGCTTATGATGATGCTGATGCTGATGCTGGTCATGATGATGATGATGATGATGATGATGATGATGATGATGATGATGATGATGATGATGATGAGGAGGAGGAGGAGGAGGAGGAGGAGGAGGACAATGATGAGGACGAGGATGCTGATGATGGTGATGTTGATGAGGTTGTGATGATGATGGTGGTGGTGTTGATGATGAGGAGGAGAAAGAGGATGCGGATGATGAGGCTGATGATGATCATCATGCAGGTGCTGAAGATGACCACCACGATCCCCATGATGGTGATGGTCACTGCGCTGGTGACGTTGATAGTGGTTATGGCGGTCACACACACGACAATTCCGACGAGTCTCTTGACGATCATGCTGAGAGTCGCGATAGTCAACAAGATATTGATGTGGTGATGCTAATGATGTGAACGACGACTGTGCTGTCGACTACGATGCTGATACCGACGATGGTGCTGGCGGTGACGATGCTGATTCCGCTGACGATGGCGATGCTGATGCTGCTGATATGGTGCTGATGCTGATGATGCCGCTTTTTGCTGTGATGACACAGTATCGCAATTAGTATGCAGTGCTTGCTGAGTCGCTGGGAATGTTTGGTATGAGCTTCATATTGCTTCATCAGTCCTTCCCCGTCCCTCCCCTGGCCGCAGGGCGCTGTAACCGAGCGACGTACAAATCGTTGGTAGAACGCGCCCGAAGGGGGGAGAGAGGACCTTAACCTTCCACAGTGCGAGAACCTAATTTTACACCTTTGATCGTCTTGTGATTGTCACTGGGCCTGGAGACTCCCTCCGGGAGATACTGTCGGGAATTTCTGGATAGCGTGTCGCTCCGCCGGTTCTGAGCCTTTCTGAGCCTCCCGCCCCGCTGAGCGGAGCGACGCGCTATCCGCTCGCAAGGGGTAGCGTGTCACCAGGGCCGCCGCCGCGACACGCTATGCAAAAGTTCCTCACCGTAGACGTCGGCGAAAGATTCCCGTGCTGACTCTTGTTCAGGACTCTGGAGGTCCTTGGAGGCAAGTTGAGGTGCAGCAGTGGGAGGGGCTGCCTCTTCCCCTGATGGGAGCCAGCGTACTTCTTGCACACGGACGTGCACCTGCTGTCGAGCCTGTGGAAGGCGATCTCCGGGCGTCCGCGCCAGCGCACCGCGCCGCTGCTTCGTCCGCCTGCCTGCACGTTCTGCGGCTCGGTGCACCGGAGGAGACGCTGGCCTGCCAGCAGGCGCCCCACGGTCCTCTCCTCTCCCCCGGAAGCCCGCGGGTCACACAGGAGGCCTCGGGCGCCTCGGGAACGTCGAACGTGGTCGGCGAGTGTGCCCCCCCCCCCCGTGCCCCTTGCAGCAGGACTTATTTTGCGTACGTACCTGCTGCGCGCTTCCTCCACCTCCAGCCCCAAGCCCCCTTCCTCATGGGACGCTTCGGGTCGTTCGACTATCGGCCTCCAGGGACCACTTCGGGACCGCGGGAGTCCCTGTGAGCCCTTCTTCCTGCTCTCCCTCCTCCGCTTCCCTCTTCCAAGTCCCTCTCCTCCTGCTCATTGCGCATCGCAAGGTCGCGCTGCCGCTTTGCAATTCCGGGCGGCTGGTCAGAACCTGGCGGAGCCCTCGAATCATTCGTCTCCTCGACGGGTGCTGGCAATGTCACGCTTGGGGATGGCGTTACTCTCGAGGTGGCCGTCGTGAAAGTCCTCGGAAAATCCCTGCGGCGATCCTTCACGTGTAGCTCTCCAGTGTAAAAAGGGTTGCGAAGTGGTCCTTTCTATCGCAGATGTCCTTTGTGAAATGCGCATCTTCCATCTCATCCCTAACGCCTTGCTGTGCTGTAGTGCCAAAGCTATCCCCCTCGAAGTTCCCTTCACGGGGCCTTGTTTTGACCAGAGGTGTTTCCCAGCAGGGCCCTGGCCGACGCTCGTGCCCCCTTGAGCGGTACAGGAACACCAGGTCTGTCAGCTGTCCAGATTCGGTGGTGCTTCTGGCCTCCTTTCGACCAGTTACATGTTACCGGATCCTTCGTGCTGCCCTGCTCCTCCCATACTTGCTCCCCATGTTATGCGAGTGGGGGATCGTCCACAGAATTGATGTACCCCAAAGTTGATTTGTCCTGCCGGATCCACGTTTTTTTTTGTTTCTTCCTCGTGAGGCCGACACAACCATAATTTCGGGGTAGAACAATTTTGCAGTCCATCCCCCACTCGAATTGTCGGGCGCGCTTCCCCCCTGGACCTCCGTCCGAGTGCCGCCTCGCGCTGCCGGCTGCCGGCCGTCAGGCGGCCTCTCTCTCTCCTTTTGTGTGCAGGTGATGGGCGCCTTCGTGAGGCACCGCGAGAAGGCGGAGAAGGCGGAGAAGCCAGAGAAGAAGGGGAAGGTCAGCGTCCCTCCCTCCTCCTGTAGTTTTTTTGTTGCTGGAGCTCCCGCTTCTGGAAGATGTTGTTTATATCGATCCCTCCTGTCTGCTGCCACATGTGTTGCTCTCGCTTCTTTCTTGATCAGGGAAAGGAAGTTTTTGTTACTCAAGTTGTGATGTTGCCCCCCCGCAACAATGACAATACGAACTGTTCCCGACTGATGCCTCCTGACAGTTAATGAGAGAAAGAGAGGGAGACAAACAAAACCAAAAAACGATTCGCGCTCTCACCTAGGACTTCCTGACAATTTGGTGAACAACCGCAACCCCGCCAAACAGGAATAGTGCTGTCGCCCGAGGCATCCTCACAACTTATCAAAGAACCTCGCAGTCGCCAGTCAGGAATTTCACTTCCGCCCTAGACTTCTAGGGGAACAAACAGTGACATAAACATAAACACTCGGAGGTCCGTGCGGATTTCTCGGATCGGCGCTGGACCCCCTCCCTGGCGCGTGGAGCGCGCCAGGGGCGGCGCTGGAGGCGCCGCCAGGGGAGACCTCAGAGTTTTCATGTTTATGCTGTTTTTTCCACTCCTAACTTCCTCCCATCCGTCCCACGATCTTTACGCGCAACTTCGCGTCGCGCTCGCCCTCCTCGCTCTCGCGGAGACCCGCCGCGGCCCGACCCGCCGGTTCGCTGTCCAGGCCCGCCCGCCCAGCCCGCCCGTTGGGGTCCGCCCGCCCGACCCACCCGTGGAGTCCGCCCGTTCGTTTGCCTGCAAGCCCTCCCGCCCGTTGTCACTCCCGCCCTCATGCGGTCGCCCGTCGTGTGGCCAGTGCCTCTTAGCCCATGGGGTTGCTGGAGGTATTCTTTCGGTCAGTGAGGTCTCCCTCACTGCCAGCAGTGGTTTCCCAGCCGCCGCTGCTGTGCCTTTTTCACCTGGGCTGTGCGGGCGTTGAGCTCAAAAGACCCCCCCGCCAGTAGAGACCGCCGCCCAAGCGGGCCATTCTCGTGACCCTCCCGCCCAGCACTCCCCCCAGGGCCCTCCCGTGCGCTTGCCCGGGAACCTCCCCGCCCGCACGGATGCGGCCGCGAGACCGGCTCTTACACGAGGCGACCATTCCGATCGCGAGTTCGAGGCGTACGCGACGAAGGGCATACCCCCCCACATCAACGGGCCACCGACACATGCGCGGCACCGCGAAGCCCCGCCTGCAATGGGCACCCCGTGTGGAGCAATGTCGCCGACGGCCGATGCCATGCTGGATGGGGTTGCCACCGCGTCGACCGCTGCGGCGGCGACGGCCTTCCCGCCCGGGCACCACAGATGGCGGTGCCGCGCATGCAGTTGCCGTCGACGCAGACACTGCTTGCACCGCCGCCTCCGCACCCAATGTCGAAGGGCTGCCCCGTCTGCACCGCGACTAGACGCGCCGGTCACAGGTGCGAGTCCAGAAGGAGGTGCGGCTCTCCAGTTTTTAATGCCAGGCCAGAGTGTTCCTCCATTCTTCTCTCTTCATGTCTGAACTTTCTCGTCTCCCTCCCCCCAGGCTCCGCTGTCTTCGCGGCCGCCCCCCGGGGGTCCCCCTCTCCCCCCTCCTTCGCCCGCGCTGCTGACCGCAGGGAGCAACTACCCCCCTCCTCTCGTGCATGCTCCTCCTCTGCTCACATTGGTCAGCCTTCCAGTGGTCAGTCTCACGCCCACGCTCATCGCAACCACTGCACGGCCTGTGCAGCTGGAACGGAGACTTACATGATGGGCCCGAACAGAAGTTGCAACCCAAACGCCACTTTGGACCTCCAGCGGCGCTAATTGCCGCGCTTGCACTGATGTTGGGTCCCGGTGGTGTCGCTGGAGCGAACCGCCAAAACCCACAGGGCGACCGTGCAACAGGACGTCGCGACGGTTTGTGTCCTGCCTCGCACCCAGCTGCCTCTCTATCGAGCACCATCAGCAACACGACCCGCGCGTCCAATCCCCACTTTCTGCCACCAGTCTTTTCCTACACGCCACATTGCGGCGCGCCTCGCCGCGAGCGCACGCAGGTTACCGCTGTGTGATTCGGAGCGGGAGGGGGGATCCAAGGACGAGGAGGTGAGGAGGTGGGGCGCTCGCGATGTCGCTGGGGCTTGACCCAGAGCCGCCCGCACCTCCGAGCTCTCAGGGGGAGGGGGAGGAGGAGGAGGAGGGAGGAGGAGGAGGAGGAGGAGGAGGAGGAGGAGGAGGAGGAGGAAACGAGGGACATGGACTCGAGGAGGAGGAGGAGGAAGACGAGGCGGAGGAGGCGGATGAGGCGGAGGAGGAGGAGGCGGAGGAGGAGGCGGAGGAGGAGGAGGCGGAGGAGGAGGAGGAGGTGGAGTCGGAGGAGGAGGAGGAGGAGGAGGAGGAGGAGGAGGAGGAGGAGGAGGAGGAGGAGGAGGAGGGGGGCCACCTCGGGGGGGGAGGTCGTGCTGGAGAACGGGGCCCTCTCCGTGATCTACACGCACCTTCTGCCCGCCGCCTCGCTCGCAGCGGGCTCAGCCCGCGCCCCGCGGCCTCCTTTTTGGGGGGGGCAGTGCCGCGGGGGGCACCACTGGGGCGGTCGCCAGCTCCTCCCGAGGGTCGGGGTTCTAGGATCCAGGCTCGACGAGGTCTTCGGACGCGCTTTGGGGTTCGGGGGTGTTCGGGGGGGGGCGTGTCCTGGAGGAAGCGGCGTGTTTCCTCGTGGGAGCGGCGGCCCCCCTGGAGTGGTGCCCCCCCTCGGCGTGGCCTGGGTCCCTCCGTCCTCCCTCCGCCCCTCCATCGCCCTTCTCCCTGCCTCAATCCTCATCCTGCGTCCCCTCGAGTCACCACGGCCTCGTGCCGGCCCCTCCCCCCCCCTGCGCTGAACGCCAGACGTCGAGTTGTTTTCTGGGCCATTGGAAGTCTGGACTCTTCACCGGGGGCCATCTTTTCATCCCAAGTCGCTTTTTGACGTCACCAGAGCGCAGCAAGGGCTCTCCCGAGGCCGGAAACGGCCAGAAACCTTGCGCCGAGGGGGCCCTTCCCGGCAGGGGGCCATGGGAGGCCGACGAAGTCGCCGCGATTTTTGTGCGTCGCCCTGGCCGGAGGCCTTTCCCCTCCCCCTCCTGCCCAGAGGCAACTCGCCCCCATTATCCGTATCCTGATCCTCTTTCCCATGATCCTGATCCGCCTGCTGCCTTGCACACCCCTGGCCGAGGCTCCCTTGTGCGGCCCTTCCGCGGATCTCTGAGTCCTGCGTTTTTGTTATTCCTTCTCCTCCTCCCCTCCTCCTCCTCCTCATCCTCATCCTCATCCTCCTCCTCCTCCTCCTCCTCCTCCTCCCCCTCCTCCGGCTGAAGCACTTATACGCAGCCACGGTCCTCCTCCACATTGCTCCTTTTTTCGTCTTCCTTCCCCTCCTCCTCCTCCTCCTCCTCCTCCTCCTCCTCCTCCTCCGCCTCTTCCTGTTCCTACTCCTACTCCTACTCATACTCCTACTTCTCCTCCTCCCCATCCTCCTCCTCCTCCTCCTCTCCCTCTTCCTCCTCCTCCTCCTCCTGCTCCTTCTCCTCCGTCGCCTTGTTGGCACTAGTCTCCATGTCGCCTTGCGGCCACACGGAGGCCCGCGGAATTTCCCCTACCTGTTCTAGCTTGTAGCATTACTCAGGGGGGAACTGTCGCCCACACTGTGCCCTCGTTGCTACCATATCCTTGTTTTGTGCGACGGTCGAACTCCTGTCGCGTTGCTGCGCCGCTGTGCGTCCATGCTCCCGCCCAGCAGCTGCCCATGGCCTTGCTCCAAGGCTTGATCATACTGCACAGATCGCCCTCACCTCGCCTCGGACACCGTGCCGCGCATTGATGTCACCGTGGGCAGCGCCACGGACGTGGGTTCCGTCGACGCAGTGGGAGTGGGAGGGTTCCGTCGACGCAGTGGGAAGACATGCTTACCGATGCAACGCCTATCCCAAGGACAAGGCGACCACTTGCATGGCAGGCGCAATGACTCAACATGTATGAGATGATCTCTTAAGTGACAGGAAATGTAATGTCAACTGTTCTCTGGCAAACCTGATTTTGACCGTGATCTACGTGGACAAGGTCGGACACATTCAATTGGAACATGTTTCTGATATCAAAAACGAGAGACCAACAAGGGCCGCGACAGTCTCGGGCTGTTGGCTCCACTGGCACGCGAGACACAGTTGGACCTCGACAGCACCGACCTGGACCAATCCGCACACCAGTTCGTGGAGGAGCAAGACGCCGAGAAGACCTTCGAGGCGAAGGCGCAGCAGGATAACACCCTGACCAACGAGAAGGATTCTGACATCCAGGCGTTCCTCTTCAACTCCCACCGGGTGGCCCCACCGCCTTCGTGGCCGCCCGCGGCTCCGCATCTCACCACGCAGTTCGACATGGGAATAGGCCAGAAGGATTTGCGGCCGAATTCGCTGGAGGTGAGCGGGAGACGTTGTCTTATTCTCTTCAACAGCCTGGGGAGGCCCTTGGCACGGCCCTACCCCTGAGCTCCACACCGAGCTCTTGTGCCACATGAAGAGGATGGAGGACACATTGACCAAACCTATGCCTTCCTGGCCCCTCTCCACCTTGCCATCGCATCCACCACCCTGCAACAATACATCCCGAAAAAGAACCTGAACGTGCCTGCCGAGGTCCGGGTGTCGCTTTCCCGCAGGGTACACCTGCAGCGTTCCAATCAAGTGCTGGCAATCTTCAAGCTCAACTGCTTGCGCACGCCAATGCCGTTATGGGCACCTTCAATCGCGCTGCTTCGACATCGCTCGCCGCCTCCGTCGACCAGCTCCGAGATTCCACCAACCGCAGGCTGGGCGCCACCGAGTTTGCCGTCGCAGTCCTTCGCCAACGTGCTATCCACTCCGAGGGAGCTCCGAGAAAACTGCAGCTTCCGCTGCTGAGATCCAACGTCAGCTCGTCGCCGCGGAAGCCCAGCTACCTGCGATCGACTCCATCGTGCTCCCGACTCGCCGATCTTATCCATCGGCTGCCCCGGGATCGTCTGCCCGCGGGCGGTCTGCCAAGATATCGCGCAGTGGATCTCCGGAGCGGGGCTCGAGCTCAGCGCGGCCCATTTGGTCGGCGACGCCCCTTGCAGCCGCTTCGCGCTTCCACTTCTGGGGGGTCGGACGCCTGCCTCGTCTCCGGCAGCAGCGCTGGCCGGAGCCCTCAAGCTCGCGGGCGGTCGATGGCGCGCTTTCTCCAACGACGCCGCCGCGGGACAGAGAGCCCCCCTTTCTGTCCTCGCTGATCGCGCCCCCCAAGCAGGCAAGGAGAGACGAAACGTCTTCAACGCCTCTTTTGCGACTGGCTTACCCATTGCTTCAGGGATGCGGCGGAGGAGGACGAGGAGGACGAGGAGGAGGAGCTCGTCTGGCGCCCTCTTGGCTCTGCGTGGTTCTCTGCGGGCGGGCGGGGGTGTCACTGGGGAGTGCCCCGTTGGGGCCGTGCCCCTTGCCGTGTTTTTGTCGCTTGCCGTGTCCTTTGCCGCGTCCAGTTCGCTGCGTCGAACCCGCCGCGATGCTGCGTATGCGTCTGCCGATCAAAGCGAGGAGGAAGAGGAGGAGAGCATTTGCAGCGGGAGTGGATGTAGGGAGGCTTGGAGCAGGGGCGAGGGGGTGAAGAGGCAAGAGGAGGGGGGAAGCGGAGTGAGAGTGGACGGTTTGCAGGGCTGAGGAGGCGGATGTGCCGAGGGAGGACGAGAAAGATGAGCAGAGGGAGGAAGAAGAGGAGGGGGAAGGAGGAGGAGGAGGCTGGAGGAGGGATTATGGTTCATGATGGTGCTGGCGATAGTGATGACGAATCTGATGGTGAGGATGGTGATGGTGACGATGGTGATAATCGTGATGGGGATGACGATGATGATGCTGACGCGGTTGCCGCTGCTGATGATGTGTTTAAGGATGGTGATTGTGATGTTGGTGAGGATGATGTTGATGGAAATGATTGTGATGGTGACAATGGTAACGTTCATGCTGATGGTGATGGTGATGATGATGACGTTGATGATGGTGATGATGATGGCGGTAGTGATGTCGGTGATGATGATGGCGATGATGATGGTGATGATGTTGGTGGTAACGATGAGGATGACAATGAAACGCATATTGGTAATACGAATGATGGTGGTGACGGTGTGATGATACTGATGCTGATGATGGCGGTGATGTTGATGACGCTCGTGATGATGAACATGATCATTAAGATGATGAGGATGATGATGATGATGGTTGTTAGGCTGCTGATGCTCTTGTTAGGCTGCTGATGCTAATGATGATGATGTTTTACGGTCAATGGTAGTGCTGCGATGATGGTGATGATGATGATGCTGATGCTAGTGGTGGTAATGATGATGCTGGTGGTGATGATGATGACGCTTGTGATGATGAACATGATCATTAAGATGATGAGGATGAGGATGATGATGATGATGATGAGTGTTAGGCTGCTGATGCTATTGTTAGGCTGTTGATGCTAATGAGGGTGATGTTTTACGGTCAATGGTAGTCATGCGATGATGGTGATGATGATGTTGATGCTAGTGGTGGTAATGATGATAATGGTGGTGATGATGATGGGGACGAGGAGGAGGAGTATGAGGAGGATGATGCTTATGACGATGCTGGTGAAATTCATGATGCTGCTGATGGGTCATGATGATGATGACGACGACAATGATGATGATTATGATGATGATGATGATGATGATGATGATGATGATGATGATGATGATGATGATGATGATACTGATTATGATGATACTGATTATGATTATGATTGAGGCGGAGAAGGACGACAACGAGGTGAGCATGAGGAGAAGCAGTAGCAGAAAGAGCATGGTGGAGAACAATTAGGAGTTGCGTGAGCAAAAAGAGGAGGAGGAGGAGGAGGAGGAGGAGGAGGAGGAGGAGGAGGGGAGGAGTGGGTGGGGAGGCTTGCGGCTTGTGCTGGAGACGTCGGGCCCGCCGAACGCCCGAGCGAGACCGCCTACTCGAAAACGCCAAGGTGCCGAACAACTGCTATCTCGGCGACCTGATGTGGAGCGTGATGTCGCAGCTCAACGAGTTCCTCCCTTAGTCGTGCGTTGTATCACGTGAGCGAATTTGGGGTGCCTTTGGCTCCACTTGTGTCTCCGGTGGTCTGGGGTTTCTGAATCGGGTTCCACATGAGCGACGCGCAGCAGTGGGACCGACTGCGCGGACAGGAGCACGCGGACACCCGCCTGCAGGTCGCGGGACAGTTTCCTCTTTTCCACGCGGTGTGCCGCGATAGCAGCACGCGTAATCATGGCTTCGCGTGAGGTGGCAGCGCTCTCATGCCTATACGTTAGCGTGTCGTGTCGGTGGTCCTGGCCTCCCTTGTCTTGGCGCGACATGCTAACCTCAGGAGGGACAAACAAAAACACACAGACACAATTAATCGTCGATTCCCCCAAACATATGGGAAGATATGGGAAGCGGGGGGGAAGGCAAAAAAACAGAAAATAAGGGGAAATACGGTGAATCCTGTTGTTTGTGTCTATTTATTTGTTTGTCCCAGGGCTCCTTCATAACCACGTCCCCGTCCACAGCATCAACGTACCGAGCTTTTCCCAGCCTCCCACCCTGCGGTGCGGGGGAAGAGGAGGAGGAGGCAGGAGGAGGAGGAGGCAGAAGGAGGAGGAGGAGGAGGAGGGAGGAGGAAGAGGAAGAGGAAGAGGAGGAGGAAGAGGAAGAGGAGGGGGAGGAGGAGGGGGGGGAGGAGGAGGAGGAGGAGGAGGAGGAGGAGGAGGAGGAGGAGGAGGAGGAGGAGGAGGAGGAGGAGGAGGGAGGAGGATGAGGAGGAGGAGGAGGAGGAGGAGGGAGGAGGAGAAAGAGGAAGATGAAGAGGCAGAGGAGAAGGAAGAGTCGCGGGTCGCGGGTGCCGTCGCCGCGGCGCACCAAGCCCGCACGTGGCCTGCGATGGCTGATGCTGATGCCAAACTGGGGCCCCTGTGGCGAGGAGGGCTGTCCCCGGAGTAGGCAGAGGCGTCGTCCGGCCACTTGGTCGGGTGGGGCGCGGTCGTCTTCTGTAAGCGGCCGCACCTCTCAGGTTCCAGCGGAACCTCATCTACAGCTGCTGGGACACCATGTACGACGGCTTCCTGCTGAAGTTCGCGTACGAGAAGACGAAGGTCGCCACGAAGCAGATCCTGAAGCGCGTCGTGGCGAACGCCGACCGCAAGGAATCAACGCGTGAGCATTCTGGGCGGGGGAGGGGGAACGGAGAGGATATCGGCCATCAGATGGTCAACCATCTTGCCAGCGATCGTTCCTCGATGCCCCCAGGGGTGCTCGCAAGAGTCTTGGCGCGCCCAAGGTAGCGCAATCTTCGGCGAAACGTGTTGGCTCTCACTTCGCACAGCAACATGTCGTGTCGTAAGTTTTCTGGTGGCGGTCACGAGACTGTGCCGTGGGGGGGCAGGTCGCAACAAAGAGCTTTCCAGCAAGCTTGCCCCGCGGGCTCGAGGCCGGATCCCCGTGAGTCGGGCCTCCGCGGCCTTGGCACACAACCGCTGCGAGCGCGAAGCGCTGGAGGACGGACGAGGACACGGGACATGCCGACTCTGCACTTTGTTATGGTTGGTTGTTTCATGCCATCGGGAAGCCTTGAGATCGGCGCCACCCCAACATACTTATACTATATGTGCGTCGCCCCCCCAGGGGCGACGCGCGCACCGAGACATCTTCTAGTATATGGTTATGGTTGGCTGCTTCATTCAAGCAGTGGCGAAGCGTCCTGGCGTGCCTATAGCCCTATCAAACAATGTTCCAAGAACCTTGTGTGGTTCCCACGAAAGGTTCTTAGGACATGTCTGGTTGGGACTGTCCTGTTTATCAAATCGGGCTTATGTTCTAAGAACATGGTTTTTGTCATTCGAACATGTTTGGGTTCTAAGAGAATTTCGTGGTCGGACTATAAGAATGCCGGGACGGTCTGTCCCTGCTCAATTCATGGCATCGGGAAGCCTTGAGATCGGCGTCGCCCCAACATACTCACACTATATGTGCGTCGCCCCCCCCAGGGGCGACGCGCGCACCGAGACATATTCTAGTATATGCGGCGTGGCGGGCGCTTTCTAGCCGCACCGCTCGCGAAACGATATACCACAAGATGGGTATACTACATGTTCGGGCGGGAGGCGCGCCCTCCAAGGAGGACATATCGTATCAGTATGTCCCTGTGCGTTCCATGAGAGAGACCTCTGGAGCTTAGTGGGCCCTGGGAGCGGCAGGGCTGTTTTTTCACCGTTTCCGAAAAAGTGTGCCTTGAAAATAGAAACGGCAACAAAAACGGCGACCGGAAATTGTAAACAAAACGGCTCCAGGATTGGACCCGGAGCCAGAACCGGTCATAAAACGGCGATGGAACCGGTAACAAAAACGGCGTCGGAACCGGCAACAAAAACGGCAAAACGGAACCGGTAAAAAAACGGCCTTGTCGTTTCCAGGGCCCACCAAGCTCTGGAGGCCTTTGGCTGCCTCCGGAGGTTTCCAGGGCGGCCGAGGGGATTCTGTTTTGGGCTCCACGCCCTGGGCACCGCCAAAGCCGCCCTCCGTCCAGGGAGGGGCGCGCCCACCGCTGCGGAGAGGGAGAAGCGGCGAAGCGGCCGAAGGGTAGGAGGAGGAGGAGGGGGAGGGAGGATGAGGAGGAGGGGGGAGGGAGGAGGAGGAGGAGGGAGGAGGAGGAGGAGGAGGAGGAGGAGGAGGAGGAGGAGGAGGAGGAGGAGTGGAGCGGAGTGGAGTGGGGTGCAGTGGAGTGGAGTGGAGTGCAGTGGAGTGGCGTGGCGTGGAGTGGAATGGAATGGAATGGGAGGGCCCGAGGGGAAAGAGCACAGCACGCAAGCGAAACGAGTTAGGACTGGCCTGCTGCTGAGCAGGCGCCCTTGACACGGGTTCTCTCGACGAGGGCAGCCACTCGCTGCCTGTGGGAGGGGACCCCCGAGGCCGAGAAACATCTGGATCGCTGGGTCGCGCGCTGCTGGCAGAGTATCGGCAGCAACCCCCAGCTGGGCCGCCGATGGGAAACGCCTCCCCAATCCCCCCGCGGCTTTCCCGACCCTCTCCCGTGTCCCCTTCCTCCGCTCCCCTCCCCCCTCGTCCCATTCCCCCCTGCTCCGCCCCCTTTTCCCGTCTCGTTCTCCCTCTCACCCCTCGCCCTTGCCCCCCACCTCGGCCGCTCTCCCTGCATCCCAGAGGGCACGCCCGCCTGCTGTTATGCGCTCGAGGGGTGCCAGGCCCTGACTGCAGCCTCGGGCGCAGGTGCTCGCCTCCTCCCCGCCTCCCCTCACATCCGCGCGCGCCGGGGCGTCGTGCGAAGTCCGCGACGGTTGTTTTTCGGAGGGCCCGCTTCGGCCCCAGGGGCCCTCTCAGGGGCAAAGCTAGGGGGGGATGGTACAGGCTCGGCTCAGGCGGAACGCGTCGACCCCCAATCTCGGGACCTCGCAACGTGGGGGGGGGGCCTCCGGGGGGGGGGGGAGTTCGGTCCGCTGGCGCATCGAACCGCAGAAAGCCTAGGCAAAGCGAGGTCTCCGCCGCCCGCCGGAGCCAGAGAGGCGTTGACAATCGGGGCGCGCGGGGGGCATCGCTTTTGGGAAACTCGATGCCCCAGCGGATCGAACTCATCCCCCCCCCTCAGGGTCCCCCCCCTTTGTCGGGCGGGGCGAAAGGGGAGGATTGGGAAAGGAGGGGTTACGAAATCTGAATCTGCTGCATGCAGCTGGTTTCGGCCTCATCGAGGGGCCCATTCCTTGACACTTCGCCGCCCCCTGCGCCGGGAGGCGCCAGGAAAATCAGCTACGTGAGCTGATTCTCAAATTCCCCATTTGCTATCCCCCCCTTTCGCCCGACCCCACCCCCTCCCTTTGGTGGGCCCTGGGCAATCGCCCAGGGATCTCCGATATGGGGGCCCGGGAGCCCCACCCCCCCGCCCAGGAGGACGTGCGGCCTCGCTAATTATATATCGGGGGCTGGCGCCGTATCGGCATGCGAGCGCCGAAGAGAGAGAGAGAGAGAGAGAGAACGCGCGCGCGAGAGAGAGAGAGAGAATAGAGAGAGAGAGAGAACATAGGCACAGAGAGAGAGAGAGAACAGAGCAAGAGAACAGAGAGAGGGATAGAGAGAGAGAGACAGAGAGAACAGAGAAGGATAATAGAGACAGAGAAGGAGAACAGAGAGAGGGACATATATAGATAGAGAGAGAGAGAGAGACAAACGGACAGACACAGGGAGAGAGAGAGGCCCGTCGCCGACCTGCCGGCGTTGCATCGCCGATATGCCAGCCCGATGTTTCCCCCATGAGCCAGCCTTAAGTCGGGCCTGTCCCTCTACAGGGAGGATGTTCAAACATAGTCAAACAAATGCTATGGGGACGATGTTTTGATAATTGGTTGGCCACTTTTGAACACATGTTGACTATTTTTAATTTCTCGATCAAAATCCGCATGTATGGGGACAGGCCCGACCTAAACCCAGCCCCCCACCCAAACGTTCCCCCTCGTCCGCTTCGGTCCCCGGGGTCCTCACAAGCCCAGGCTCAGACAGTCACGAGTATGGGTGGGGCCGCGAGCTCAGGATACACATATGTACATATATATATATATATATATATATGGTAGCCCCCCCCCACATGATCATACATATTCGTCTTTACCGCGGCCGCCGATCGATATCTTCTTTCTCCGTTCCCTTCTCCTGTCTCTTCCTTTCTCTCCTCCTCCTCCTCCTCTTCCTCCTCCTCCTCCTCCTCCCCGTGCTATTCCTTCTCGGAATCATCGAAATCGTCAGAAACTAAAGAAAACCTGCAAAAAACCAAAAAAAAAAAAACAAAAAAACAAAAAAAACAAGAAAAACCAAAAAAAACAAAAAACAAAACAAACTATGATTTCGGGAGAACTTCTGGGGAGGGGGCCGGCCAAAGTTCTCCAGAAATCATAGTTTTTTTTTGTTTTTGTTGTTTTGTTTTGTTTTCTTTGGTTTTCTGAAGGGTTTTCGCTGGCGTTCGGCCTCCACAGAAGGATTCCTATTGATATCCTCTGCGAAAGGAGATTCCCATTGAGATCCTCTACGGCTCCTCACCGTAGCAGGAGGAGCAGGAGGAAGAAGAAGAGAAGGGCGAGGGGCATGACGATGCCCTCCTGCTCCTCCTGCTCCTCGTCAGCAGAACTAGTTGTCAACGGCGTTCCACAACTAGTTTTGTGAGTAATGAGTTCCTCCTCATCATCGTCATGCTCCGCACTCTCCTCTTCTTCCTCCTCCTGCTCCTCCTGCTCTTCTGCCCTCCTGCTCCTCCTGCTCGTCATTCTGCCCCCCCCCTCTGCTCACCTTCCTCTTCTTCCTTCTCCTGCTCCTGCTCCTCCTGCTCCTGGTCATTGTGCCCCCTTCTCTCCGCTTTGAGGCGATACGCACAAATCTAGTTGTGAACGCAAATGCACAAGTACTCTTGCGAGGAACCTCCCGCTACGAATCACTACTCGCAGAACTAATTGTCAACGGCGCTCCACAACTAGTTTTGTAAGTAATGAGTTCCTCCTCGTCATCGTCGTGCTGCTCACCCTCCTCTTTTTCCTTCTCCTGATCCTCCTGCTCCTCGTCATTGTGCCCCCTCCTCTCCGCTTCGAGGCAATACTCACAACTCTAGCTGCGAACTCAGCTGCACAACTAGTTTTGCGAGGAACCTCCCGCTACAAGACACTACTCGCAAAACTAGTTGTGAACGGCGTTCAACAACTAGTTTTGTGAGTAATGAGTTCCTCCTCGTCATCGTCATGCTCCTCACCCTCCTCTTCTTCCTCCTCCTGCTCTTGCTCCTGCTGCTCCTCGTCATTGTGCCCCCTTCTCTCCGCTTCGAGGCGATACTCACAAATCTAGTTGTGAACGCAGCTGCACAACTAGTTTTGCGAGGAACCTCCCGCTACAACACAATTCGCCATACAATGATTCCTATTGAAATTATCAACAGAAGGATTCGCGTTGAAACCCTTCACAGAAGGAGACTTAGGTGGATGAGAAGGAAGAGAAGGAGGAATATGAGGCGGATGAGGAGGATCAGGAGGAGGAGGAGGGAGAGGGAGAAGAACCTCTATAAAACGATTCTGAATGATCAACTGCAACGCAGCCGATTGGATTGCAATGCGTTGCCAACGATTGAAGCCGCAAGCGCTTGGAATGCAATCGACTGAGTTGCGTCTGACAACGTAGCAAAACATAATCAAGAAGAGCAGGAGGAGGAAGGGGGATGAACGACTGGAGGGATCAAGGGAGCATGTGTATGATCATGTGGGGGGGGGGGGGGCGAGCATATATATATATATATATATATATATATATGTATATCAATACATACGTAAATGTTAGTGGTTCGCGACCTTTTGTTTGTTTTTTCTCCCCGAGACATCGGGTGGCGGAGCCCTCTCCCGCCGATGGGCGCTGAGCATCTTCTCGCGAACGATCCCTCCTGACCACTCCCTGCATTGACCATGTACGTCGAAACCAATTGACCTTCAGCACGTCAGCCAGCCAGGCCACCCAGGCAGCTGGCCAACCCGCACATCCCGCCGCCTGCCAGCCGTCACCACCGATTGGGGAGGAGTTCCTCCTGCCAGCGAAAATTGGTGAAAGCCTGCCTGCCCGGGCGTAGCGTGACGGCCAGGGAAGCCACGCGCCACATTGCTCAAACGTTTTCCACACACCCAATGCCCACGCTCTGGACGGAAGGGCTTCCCAGCCTGAAGCAGGCCGTCACTGTTCAGCCCTGGAGTGTCAATACGGGGCACGGTCAGGGGGTGCCGAGTCGCCCTTGGAGTTCTCGTCTGAAGGGTCCAGTCATGAAGAGCACCAGGAGCGCCTGGACCCACGATTTGTTTGTTTTACCCTAGGTGTCCAGGCGCGCATCGAGGGCAACATGTTGCGTCGTGTGTCGATCCTGTATTAACCAGCTGCGATCATGCCGCCCGCGCAGGTTGGCGCCTTTCGCCCTGTCGATCGTGAGGTTTGGGAGTCTCCTGCGCTTACCGACATTACCATCATCCCTATCATCCCTATCATCCGTCGCACCTTCACACGTACTTAGCATTGCTTCAACGAGAATGTGGGGATCTCTCGAAAATGGCTTCGTGAGCGGACCTTAACCATGGCACGACTCCCGATTCCCCGACTGGCGGCACGACTCCCGATCAGCTGTCCGACACGACTCCTGGTTCCCCGACTCCGGCGGCAGTTCTTGTCTCTCCGACTCCGATTCCTACATCTCCGACTCCATTTCCCAACTTTCCGACTCCAGCTTCCGCCTCTCCGACCCAGGTTCCGACTCCACTTCCCACATTTCCGACTCCAGCTCCCATCAGATTTCCGACTTTGGCTCCGATGCCAGATCCCATCTCTCCGACTCTGGTTCCAGCTCTGGCTCCGACTCCTGCTGCCATGTTTGTTTTTTTTCAGCCTCGGCTCTGGCCCTGGCTCCCAATTTACGACTCCAATTCCCAACCCATCTCTCCGACTCCGGCTCCAACGTTGGATCCCACTCTTCCGATCGCTCCGACTCTGGCTCCGACTCCGGCTCCCACTTTCTGACTCCAGCTTCAATCCCATCTCTCCGACTCCGGTTCCGATTCCGGCTTCCATCTCGCCGACGCCGGCCCCGTCTCCGGTTGTGGTGGTTACCGTCGTTCGCCCTTGATTTTCCCAGCGCCGGCGACGAAAAGCAATGAATCCATCCAGCGAGCAACAGGCCATGTCCAATTTTGGTGCCCAATTCTTTGATTGCGGCTCCGACACCCACTCCCATCTCTCCCATTCCGGCTGCCATAACGTACGATTGATTAATCAGAACATCATGCAAAATAGTGAGGTCTTGCGCACAGTGCGGCGGACCCAGGTTCAGCTTGATACAGG